CCCCTTTTCCCCCGGCCCAGCGGGGGTGCCCCTCTCCCCCATCTCCTCCTTCTAGCCCCGCCCATCTCAGCAGGGGGTGCCCCCCTCTGCCCCCATCTCCTCCCCCCTCTAGCCCCGCCCATCTCAGCAGGGGGTGCCCCCTTTCCCCCCATCTCCTCCCCCCTCTAGCCCCGCCCGTCCCAGCGGGGGGGTGACCCCCTCCCCCCATCTCCTCATCCCCTCTAGCCCCCCCATCCCAGCGGGGGGGGGTGATCCTCCCTTCCCCTATCTTCTTATTCTCTCCAGACCCACTGAGCGCAGTGGGGGTTGTCCCCCCTTCACCCCAAATCTCATCCCCTCTAGCCCCACCCATCACAAATTGCACTCCTTCCCTCCCCTCCCACTCCTGCAGACAGACCCCAGCGCACCTCCACACACACATTCTCCCCCACTGAGGCATGGGTCTCATCTCCTGGCTGTAGTTCATGCTCAGGGCTGCGTTATTCTTTCAGGGGTCTGATAGTGCTGGCTAACCAATCTCGGTCTCCCCCTTCTCGTTCCTTTAGCCGTCCAGTCCGGAAAGAGAGGTGGAGCGGGATGTCTTCTTATACCGAGCCTACATTGCCCAGGTGAGATCCCGGGCTCTGCATGGAGAGGGGCCTGGACAGAGCGCAGGGCTGAGAGCAGGGAGCACTGAGTTCAGATCCAGCACCTCCGTCTTTTAAGGTCTGACATCGATTCCTTCTGCAGCCTTGGGGCCCATCACCTCCACCCAGGTTGACAAGGGGAGGAGCACAGTATGAACCATTTCAGGGGTTCTCAAACTTCATTACACAGGGACGCCCTTCTGACAACAAAAATTACTACATGACTCCAGGGGGGGGGGGGAGGGAAGGGGGCTGAAGCCTGATCCCGTCCGAGCCCCACTATCTCTGGTGGGGGTATCAAAGCCCAAGCCCCATCGCCCTGGGCAGGGCCGGCCAAGGGTTCCAGCCCCAGGCAGGGGGCCTGTAACCTGAGTCCTGCCTCCCAGGGCTGAAGCCCTCGGGCTTTGGCTTCAGCCCTGGGCCCCAGCAAGTCTAAACCAGCCATGGTGACCCCATTAAAACAGGGTTGTGTCCCACTTTGGGGTCCCCACCCACAGTTTGAGAACCACTGAACTACTAATTAGACCTTTCTGGCCTGTATTTCCACATATTTGAAATAGGGTATGCGGGGCTAGACAAGCCTGTGAAGTGTTATAGGAGTCCTAAACATCATCCATTGGGTGAAGATTTACTTTTGCTGTTCTTTGTGGTGTTGGTGATGAGCTATAGACTTAAAACAGTTATTTCCCATGTTCTCGCACGCCTGTTGTACATCTCCCTGCATGCAGCCCATGATAACCCACCTTCACTCAGCCTGCAATTGTCGCTGGTTGAGTTTAGGTCCAAAATCTAAGGGTCTTTTGGTTTTAATTACAAATCGTCTAATAACTTTGTAATTAGTGTTTTAAGTACTTAACTTTCTTAGTGGCAGCTTTTTCCTTGAAGTGTCGGGAAACCCAAACACAAGATTTTTCTCCCCGTTCATGTGAACCACAATATGAAACTGACTACTCAGTTTGAGTAAATTGCAAATAAATTACAGCATAAATAGTGATAAGTGGCTTTTTAAAGTTCTTTGTCTAATAATCTGTGGTTATGTTAGTAACACAAACAGTGGAGATTCATTAATAGTGACACTTGCAACAGTGTTTCTCTGTTAATTCTGTCCAGCTAGTCAGTCTCATCTGAGCATGTGGGGAAATGTGGCAAAGATTAATGTTCCTACTACTTTGTAACTTACATCATAGTGAACTGTTTTTCTTTTGTTCTTAAATTATTACACAATGTCTCTCTCCGTCCTCAATAGAGAAAATATGGTGTTGTTCTGGATGAAATCAAAGCCAATGCTTGTCCTGAGCTCCAAGCAGTTAGAATGTTTGCAGAATATCTTTCAAACGACACTCAGAGGTAAGTGTGACATTGAATTATTGTAACATACAAATACTGTCCAGCAAAGAATTTGCTTCAGTAGTGGGAGCATAATCTTGGTTGCTGCTGCATGTGGTCCTGATCATGTGGGAATGACTGAAGTATTTTTAACCAGTTATTCTTTGGCTTGTTAAAAATGGGTCTATACATTTAACATTCCATAGCCAAGCGTCTATGGTCATGCTTCCTATACCAATGCACAATAAAACACTTCCAATCTTCAGATGATAGACTGGTGTTGAAGGCAGGTTTTAGTCAGCAATTCCTGCTGGTTGGCCCAACTGGTTTGTCTGTCTAACTGCCGCTCACTGGTTCGTGATGTTAAAACAGCATTGTCTGCAGGATCAGTTTAGCTGGCCTTGGGCGAGGAGCATGTACAGTATTTGTCTCCATCTCCATTGGCTGATTTCAGGTATTTGATATATTTCTGAAAAATTATTGTTTTGGGCTGAAACTCTTCTGCCCTGCCAAATTGCTGGCCATGCTTAGTAAAACTCCCCTGCGTTATTTTTGAGTGTGGGCATGAAAATATTTTTTCCCAATGCTTTTTAGTTCAAATAATTTTTAAAAGGCTGAATTAAAAAAATTTGATGGACTTTCCCTACTGGAGGGTGACAGCCATTGCCTTGCTTAGAAATGGAATGATCTGTTCTGAAACTCTCACCAGCTCACTCTCCACAGGGACACAATTGTTGCTGATTTGGACAAGAAGATGGCAAAAAGCGTTGATGTGACCAATACAACTTTCCTGCTGATGGCGGCTTCCATCTATTTCCATGACGCAAACCCTGATGCGGCCCTGCGCACGCTACACCAAGGAGAAAGCTTGGAATGGTGAGTGCAGCTCAGACACCCAGGTGTCACCCAACAAAGCCACGCTCTGTGATCCAGCCAACTACCTGAAAGGGGGTTCCAAAGAGGATGGATCTAGACTGTTCTCAGTGATACCTGATGACAGAACAAGGAGTAATGGTCTCAAGTTGCAGTGGGGGAGGTTTAGGTTGGATATTAGGGGGAAAAATTCACTAGGAGAGTGGTGAAGCACTGGAATGGGTTACCTAGGGAGGTGGTGGAATCTCCTTCCTTAGAGGTTTCTAAAGTTAGGCTTGACAAAGCCCTGGCTGGGATGATTTAGTTGGGAATTGGTCCTGCTTTGAGCAGGGGGTTGGACTAGATGACCTCCTGAGGTCCCTTCCAACCCTGATATTCTATGATTCTGTGATCCAAGGAAATGTTGCCATAGAAACAGGTGAAGTCTAACTTGTTTTAAAGTTTTATAGAAACCAGTAAGAGATTGATTTGGGGATGTTAAGAACAAGTAATGAGGTATCCATCCCAGAACAAGACACACACTCACCCAGTTGGAGGCTAAGGGGTTCAGGATAGCACATCTCCTGCATGTTTTCAGGTAGAGAGAAAGGCATTATGATACCAGAGCAATCAGAGTCCTGGAGCAGGCTGTCCTCTCTGTACCCGAATAATGCTGCCTGCTTTATTGCTTCCCCGCTGCAGAGCGAGCAAGGTGGTGAAACACCTGTTCTTACTCTCTAGCACCATGTCTGTTCGCTAGGCGGTGTGCTTCCAAAGGGGCAGGCACGATCCATGCGGTGTACCCGTGCAAGGCCTCTCTTCTGGTGCTTTGAGTTGCACTTGACACCCACGATAGCTGAATGAAACTTGGCTGAAGTTTTTATAGTGGAGATTTTGGCACAACAGCAGTGAGCAATTGCTGGGGATTCT